CACTAATGAGAGGTTGAGAGGAATAGGACACTGAATCCACCTCAGAGGGACAGAGAGGAGCCAGCAGCTTCTCATGACACCTGGCTCTTTTTTGAAGTGCTGCTCTGACATTCCTCTGACATCGGCTACACTGATATCAGAAAGAGTAACATTAGGAAAAAATTACTAAATCAGAAAGAGGAGAAATCACTTACTTCCCCAAACAAAGAAAGTGACAAAAGCTTCAAAAAATGCCAACTGTGTCAATGCGCAACCAGATGTCAAGGCACTCTGGTGACAGATGCAACAGAAATACAGATAGACTCAAGGTGCAAAGGGGACATGCAGAAAACTAGAAATAAACTGCTCCCTGGCATGCACAGGTATGTTATAAATCCACGGATGTATAGCACCTCGTCAGACTACATGGAAAATACAAGCAAGATGCTAATAACACATTTAATTATCTGTTGTGTATTTGGTTATCTTAACTGTTACCTCAAAATACTTGCATCATATTTCAGTGATATGGGCTTTATGTATAAGATATTAAACTCAATTTGTGCTATCTGCAACACTTGAAATGCGCTGAATTTAACTTCACAAATAATACCTAAGCATCTACTAATTGGGGAGAAAGACCTGAATACAAATCACTGGTGAGGGCTAAAACAAAGCTTAATTCCAGTTGAGTATCTGGGAAGGTGTCACTGAGGAGACATATTTGAGCAGAATGTGTACGATTTCACAGGCTGAAATCAGGGGGATGGTCTAGGTAGAAGAAACAACATGATTCTAGTTTTGGTGCTGACCAAGCAGCACTGTGTGACTTGGGCTCAGTGGGCATGGGAGTAAGAGAGAGAAAAGGCCAGAAGTTCAGAGGAGGCCTGATGATGGTGTTGACTCTTCCCTGATGCTCTTTCTTCATAAACTTTGTATTTTTGGTCTCCATTTTGTTTCATTTCCTTAGACTTCTTATCTTCACTGTTCCCCCTTCCTGTGGGTCTGAACAACAGTACAGGGGGAAAAATAATTCCACAGAATGTTTGTTTCCATTTGACTCAAAATTTTAAAAACTCAGTTATACGCTTTATTTTAAAGCAATCTGGTTTCTAGGTCTATAACAACACCCTGGGGCAGTGTGGGCAGCATTGGAATGTGCACAGAAATTCCCAAAGAGGGCTCTTCATCTCTCTTTCCATTTGCTCTTCTGAAATCTCTCTAGAGAACACAGCCGGATTCTGTTGCCATTGCAGCTGCTACAAGGCCCCAGTTACAGCACTTCAATGGTCTCAGACGTCTTGCTGGATCCCAGCCTTGAGACTCCAGACAAAGAGAAACCTGATAAAAGTTGTCCTTTTATGGAATCTTGAATCATGGAGCTGGGCCTATGCTGGCCTGTAAAATAACTTCGGGGGTGGTGGTGGTGGTGAGACAGGGCTCAGAAAAGCCTCCCATTTTCTACATATTGCTTTAGCATTTCTTTGTGGTGGTTCCCTGCAGTTTAATCTACTGCAAATGAGATCCTAAAAAAATCAAGGGCCCGCAAATGCTCAACACGGATGTTCAGAAATCCCACCAGATACCAACCTTGAAACCATATTTTCCAGGACTAACGTTTTTGTGGCCTGGCTGAAAACCTTGAGTGCTCTGGTTTTCCCTCATGGGGAGAAGAGTGCTAGCCATGTAGCAAATGCTAATTATCCCATGATTAATGTGATGGAGTGAGTTTAATGTGATGACCCATACATTATTTTGATTACAAAAAAACATTTTTTATTGACTTGGTATGCGTTACATACACTTTTCTCCCTATTAGGAAGCCCATCTAAATTATACTCTGGAAGGAAGGTCTCACTTACATGGCTTTCCCTATAGAGACAGTGAGGGCTTGTGTGGGACCCATCCCAAAAGGGAGGATTAGCAGAACCGTCAATGTTAAATATCCTCCACAAAGCACTTTTACCTGTTATAATGAAACAAATGTTAGAGGCCCATGTCATTTGACTCTTGAGGGGTATGCAATGTTAGCACAATCCAACGGTACTGTAGGCTGTCCCTCCACCCAGCACCTGGCCTTGCAGTAAAAATGGGCCTGAGCAGAAGGTGCACTTCACATTCCATCTGCTCAGGATTTTCAATTTCACCTGCTCCATACACATAGCTGGAAATAACCAACGGGACTGTCTTGGGTCTGGTTTGAGAGGGTGGGGACCTAACCATCCCCAGTTCTTCAAGGAGGTAACACTTCCTGTTTAAACACCATCACATTAATAACAGCCAGCATTTACTGAGTACTCACTGTATGCCATTGTTTGCCAGGGCTCTGTGCTAAGAACTTTACACATGTCAGTTTTAGACTCCTCACCACATCCCTCTGAGACAGCTACTATTGTTTTCCCTGTTTTACAGGTAATATAATCAGACAGAGAGAGGGCAAGTAACTTGCTCAAGGTCTCACAGTTAGCAGGTGGCAGAGCAAATCCATCCTGATTTAGGGTCAGTATCTGTGCCTAGGATACCATTGCTGTCTCATGTGCCGCTGCTTGGTAGGTGGTCTTATGAGAGGGCAGCAGAAGGGAGACAGTGTTAGGCCCCCTCACATTCCCTTCTCAATTTCTCCAGGTGTGGCACTACGCAAAATTCAAATAGCAAGTTCAGAAGCAACAGCTGAGTGGAGTGGACAGGAAACTGGGTGATGGAAACTTGCGGCTGAAATATTCATATCATAATTAAATGCCAATATATCCCACCTCCAACTCTGTCTCTAGGAACTGTGATGGACAGAGGCTTATGGGAAAGAACCGGTTGCCTGGGTACAGTGTTGTCCTTTGGAAACTGGGTGCAATTTAGCTGTTGTTTCCCTAATCTGCAGAAAGAGATCCTGGATTTCCTACTGTGTGGCCTTCCTCACTTCCGATGGGCAGCTGTTGTGGATAGAGGTTAAATGCACCCACAGACCAGTCTTCATGCCCTTGGGGCCACTCCAACATACCAGCTGGTGGGAATTTTGGAAAAATGCCCTGATACTCTGGGCGGTGCTGCACTGGCCAAGGGGAGGAGTTTAGGAGGCAGGAGAAAGATGGTCATTAGGAAGCCAATCATACCTTCACTGCCCACTCCTGGGGTAAGGTGACAGTCCCAAACTCATCTTATTTTTTGAGACCTCTTTTTATTCTCCTTTGCTCTGTGTCTCTGAGCATCAGCCCCCTCCTTCCTGGCTCCTTTGAAAACGAAACATGGTGCAGAAAAAGGCCCTTTCTTTCCACCCCAGAAAGTTCACTGAGGTTTTCCCAGAGCACTCTTCCACAGTTGTAACCCAAAGTGGAGTGTCACGCGGATATTTCCCCAAGCCTGGGCAGGAGTGAGCAGAATGTGAGCTCACTAAGAAGATTCTGGCCAAGTTGGGGAGTGCATCTCCTTTTAGAGAGTATTGTGAATTAGATCCATTTCTGCACCCTGCTGTTGCAATGGAGCCAACTGTGAAAGGGAAGATTCTCAGAGGAGCTGTGTTTTAATGTAGCAATTTGATTCAATTTTCCACTCTATAAAATTACCCATCACTGCTCGTTGCTTTCTAACAGACACCTTCACTCTTAATTTAACAATCCTATCGAATTCTGCCAGGGAAATTGGAAAAATTTATCACCTGTGAAATTTTATTTTCCTTTGGTTGTATCTGTTTTTGTAAAACTTCATTAACGACGATGACTTGCTGAGGAAATTATCATTTTTTTTAACGTCAGACACAAGACACAAGAAATGGCTCGACCTCAACCAAGATATCATTTGCATAATAAAACACAACAAAAAGGCTGGAGAAGTCAGGACTGGCAGAGGCTGGAAGTGCTAGGAGAAGAAGCAGGCTCTCCTTGGTGGGTGGGTGAAGTCCTCAGCAGGGCAGGGACATATGGCCACGGTCCTGCCCCTTGACTCAGGAAGCAATGATGTAGTTTCCTCCCCAGGAAGAGATGAATGTAGTGTGGTGAGGGTTGGATGCTCTTCTTAGGAAGCCTTGAAATGCAAGTTGCTTACTGATTATGCTTTCAGCAACCAGCCTGTCTTCAGGGACCTGAGTGTTAGATTCACCTTAGTTCTTAGGTTCATCTGGGATTGAGGTTCATCTGGGTTCATCTGGGATCTAAATTGCTATAAATTTAAGCTTAACTTGAATTTCTCCGCAGAGCACTGAACTTCTGGCAAATTTCCATAGGAATGATCTTTCTGAATGGACTTGAAGATTAGTGTTCCTGTGGTCTAACTACTTCACAATTAAAAGGCTCAGGCTTTGGTTCTCCACCGTCTGACCCCCACTGAGCTCTGCACCGTTCACCAGCTGCTGTTATCCCCACCAGACATGGCTATGCAGAAGCAGTGATGACTATACATTTTTTGAGATGCTAGTTTTCATGCCTTTGGAAGAAAGGAAATATATAAAGCAGACCTGCTGTAATGATGAGCAGATAAAACATGTTAGGGTTATTTTTAAGAGATGTGATTTAACTCATGGTATATCTGAACTAGGTAATAATGAGTTGTTCTCTATCAAGGTTTACTATCAAGGTTTGGTCTATCAAGGTATTACTAAAAGATTTGTCAGCATTTACATATTTCAGAGTTTTGAAATCCTTCATAATTTTGAAGCAATTTTCCTTATTCTTACAACTACACACCAAAAAGTTGAAACTAGAGAATTTTGATGACTCATCCCAAAGCTCACAATAAACCAATAAAAACCAATGTAAGTATTCTTGACTCTTTAACCTGGTGGACACATGTAATAAGTTACTTCACATGGCATGGATAGAAGACACTCTCTAATCAAATTCTTCTTGCTCCCATGGCAAGGCAGAGCCTCATTACCCGCTTTCCTACAATCTCATAAAGCTTCCCACATTATCTCCTTCAGAGGATGAAGGTTCTAATTTGGCTTATTTTGGAATTTTCAAAGTTATTATTCTTCCTCCAGGTCATGAGTTTCCGAAACTAGCGGAAGATAATCAGAGGACAAAATTTCTCACCTGGCAAGACTTCATAGATATCTTCTTCTTCTTTCTCCTCTGTAGGCTCTTTTATCCCCACACTCCCAGGCAAGATAGTGGGTCTGCACTGGGAACCAGAACTTGGGGAGTCAAAACCATCAATATCATCATATGTCTCTTCTTTTTCTTCTTCCTCCTCGTCCTCTTCATATGGAATGGTTAAGGAGCTCAGATCTGCCAGGGCAAAGATGAGAATGAATCAAGAAACAGAGAAAAAGAAAATAATAAGACAGGAAAGGAAAGAGGGAGAAGGAGGAGGAGGGATGAGAGTAAAATATGTCAAAAGAAAATGAAACACCAGGTTAAATGCTATTATATCTAATGTGGGCTTTGGTGGCAGGAAATCTACAGAAAAGGCCGGAATAGCACTGCATCAGGTTTAAACCATCAGCATAAATCCTTCCTTGCAATAAAACTTGATCAGGGTGAAGCAGCCTGAAAAGTATGGGTGTGTGAATGAGAACAGGAGGCGAATGGAAGAAAATAGGCCAGAAGAGGAAAAGCCAGTGTGCTGCGCACAGCTCATCAAGTAGAAAACTGGAAGGGTGAGTGAAGGCTTGCAGTCCTCCAGGGTGCTCAGGCCATGGGAACTAAGGTGGCCTCTGTAGGGTGTTGGAGCTGTCAGAAGCTCATATCCCCAGTGATTTCACTGCAGAATTTCAGACAAATTTGTTTGCAGAGAAAAAAATGGGCAACAGTGGAAGAGAAAAAGAAATGGGGTATGGAAAAATATAACAGTAATACAACACCAAATAGAATGGCTGAACAATGCAGTTACCATGTCCTTTTGCAACTGCACAGTCTAGCTGACCTTAAAGTGGGTCACTGCATAGAAGGTGTTGAGCCATTACAGCACTGGGGAGCACCAGGGCAGGAGAGGGAGATTGGTTTTTTATTTTAATGGGGAACTGGGTATGTTCATTCTCTGATGTGTACTACAAAGTGCTCTCTGAAACCCTGCTGAGGGCCCTCTGTAGGATGGGCGATTGCAGTCAGCCTACTCTGGGGAAGGAAAGGATGGAGAGACGTCCAACGTTCATTTCAAAATGCAATAAAACTGTTTGGCTTGATTAGGCTTTTAATAAAGATTTTGCAACAATTTTCATCTGAATTTTGGTGCCACCACATAAGAGGAAAAGATCAAAAACACATTTGTGGCTTAAACCATATGTTATTATTTTGTTTGTTTTAAAATAAAATGGAATGAATAATTTCTTCAATGTGGGATTCTGAAAGTACCACAGGGTACAGCTCAATAAAGCTGCTTTGAGTTTTATTGAGGTTTACACACTTAGGGGTATATTACACGCATAAATCCAAGGCACCTAGATGAGAGTGTACCCTGTAGTCTTGCCATCAATGTTCATGTTTGCCTAGTTCCAGTCTATTATACGTGACGCTGTTGGTAGATGCAATAGTTTGTTTTTGTGATAGCAAAGGCATAACTGAGTAAAACAGGCAATTCTTGTAATTAAAGCTCTGGTGCTTCCTTCTTTTTATCCACAATAAAATCTTATAGCAGAATAAAACACTGAGATGAAAAGGCTTGGCATTTTTAGGTTGACGTGTGTCTTTCTAGGTCTTGGGCCATGTATAAAGTCGGTGTTTCTGCCTTTCTGCAGAACAGAGGTAGGGTCCTGCCATGATGGTAGGTAAGGATTATCTAATACCAAGTGACTCACTCAAGGTTGGCTTCTTCTACCTGACAGGCCACTCCCGGATAAGGCTTCCCTGGCCACCGTTTCTGCTTTGCCTACAGGCTGGCCAGCAGAGGGTACTCTAAGAGCAGTCATTTACCATCTTCAGGCAGGACTCTTCCCACCCCAAAGCAAGGAACATCTTATTGCGGCGTGGGAAATAGCAATTTGTTTTTAATGTCCAATGTCTCTGAAGACCATCTAGATTGGTTTAGATTTCTACTTCCTCCTAAGACTAAAATAAGAAGATTTTGAACCTCAATTGCAACTAGATGACTTTAAGTTGGATATTATCAATTTCCTTTCCAGAATATATGGGGTTAGGAGACACTGAATTGGGCTGAGCTGATTTTTAGAATCTTCTTGTCTAGTGATTTTGAATATTACAGACTTGCCTGTAGGTAGGTGGATGAGCTATGATACCAGAGGTCCTCCCAAGGTTGATACCATCTTTACCTTCTCATTCACACATAGTACTATCTGTTGTTGTAATATGGGGAATGTGGTAGGAAAGGCAGAGGTGAGAAAGGGCAGAAAAAATACATACTGAAGTCTATAGATTATATTTATGCAACATAACTTCAACTGCAAATGAACTCAGGTATTATTTCTGTAACAGTGACACTTACCTTTTAACAAGAAACTTATTTGATCCACCCAGTCTCTGGCTTCTGCTGGACTAGTAGCTGTAAACTACAGAAAAATCAGTGAATTAATTTATCACTGTCACTAAAATTTCCATGAATCTTGACAGGGATGTCTAAGGGGGAGGAACCACTGAGTTTCAGAGTCAAGTTTAAAGCTCAGGATTCTCTGCCTGATTAACATACAGAAAGAAGACCAAATATTTCACTCAAACTGATTTTTTCCTTGTGCAATTTTGCATATCCAGAGATGACAGCTTTTTGAGTCCAGACATTCATGTCCATGTGCATTCTTTCATTTGATTATCTATTCCTTCATCAGGCATTTATTTGAGAAAAGTTTACAAGAAAAAAAAGCAAACCAACCCCCACACACGAAACGGGAACACTACAAAGGAGGCACATTTGGTAACAACTGGATATCAAGAGGAGACCGGGAGCACCTATTGTTGCCTAGAGTGGGTCAGAGTGGCTTGCTAAAATAATACCCTTTTGGTTGGATTTTAAAGAAGAGTTGGTGGAAACTGGTGGACAGAGTTGGACATTTTAGGTAGGGAGGCCCATGTGCAAAAGAACAGGAATGAGAACATGACTTATGGGGAAGGCTGGCAGATCAGTTTGACTGGAGAACAATAACAGATGAAGTTGGAGAGTTGAGGGTCAGAGAAGAGTTGGTAAAAGGGCTCTGAGTACTAGGAGCTCAGAGTTAAAATGTAGGCAACGGGAAGCCACTATCAGCTCTAGCAAAGGGAGTGGGGATTCTTTCAATAGCTGTGAGTAGGAAGGATTGGAATAGAGAAATCTGGAGATAGAAGACCAACTGGTCCTCTGGATGAAGTGACAGGAACTTAACCATTGTGATAGCTGTGGGAATAAAGAAGAAGGGAAAGAGCCGAAGGATATTGTAGAAGAAGAATCCATGGACCATGGTAATGATTTGGATTCAATAGGCCAAAGAAAAGAAGTAAATACATTCTGATTTACAAAATAGGCCAGTCAAGCATCAGCCCTTAGTAAGTTTTTTATTTTAAATGAATCAACTTGAAATAATTGTCCCTGAAAAATATTTTAATTATCTGACCATTAAGGTAAGGTAAAGATATCTGCTACACAAAGAAACTGGATTCCTGCATAATACTTATTAATAGACATTGTTATTCTTGATTTCTTAAAAACAAATTTCTATAAAAACATTTCTAGAAATACTTGTTTAGACTTGTTACATAAACTTTTATCTGGATGTGTTACTATCAGAATATAATAATAAAAATAACTAGGAACATATTCAGTGCATAGATCTATTTTATATATATTCATAAAGGACTCTATAAAAAATTTTAATTCAAATTTTTAAAAATTTCTGGAAATTACATAATGAAGACCTAGGTCCTTTAACAAAATAAGAGTTAAGATACTGTAGAAATAAAAAGAAGAATGCTGAGAAAAGTCTGAAGACTAAAAGTGTTATTTAAGTGGTTAATTTACTCTTAGTATGGTGTTTTCCTTTTTCATAAGCTAAAGTTTTTCTAAATTGCTTTAATAAAATTGTAATAAGATAAACATTACCAAAGAGCAGAAAACAATACACACACACATGCACACATACATTTTTGGTGAAAATCACTATATTTCCACAGTCAGAAATTTTTAAATTTTATTGGTCATTCAGGATGAAGATGGCAAAAATAAAATGAAACAAATTAATTTTATAATGAGGTAAAGATTCAAACTGAGCATAGTAAGGAATAAATCTTTCATGCCCCAACCAGGTCCTCTAGTCCTTCAATTATTATTATTACTAACTATTGTCACCAATACCTTAGAAATCCTTCCAGAGATATGCAAAGCATCGACATACAGGAAGATTATTTTGGATAGCAAGATGAACATGGGAAAATAATTTTTTTTTCACTCTACAGTTAGATCTTCTTTTTTTGGGTTTTATGGGAGGAAGTGAAGAAAATCAGTTGAAAAATAAAGAGAATGGGAATTTAAACCATAAAATCAGAGACTATAAGTAAGGAATTGGATTGTGTGCTGCAACTGACAAGCATCTCACCTATGAATTGAAATTGAGAAGAGGAGGAATGAAGGATGGAAGCCAAGCAAAGTCTGTATCTAGGATGAGAGTGGCAACAGAGGGGAGGGTGTGGCATAGCAAATGTGAAGACATGTCAAGAAATAGGGTCTTAGTTGGTATGAAATGAGCAGGTAACAAAGAAAGGCTGGAACCCAGCATAGCAACCATGGCTCACATGCAACACGAAAGGAAACTGCAACACCAACAAGGATCACCATCTCCTCGGTGCGTCCTACCTCATAGCTGCGCCTATCCTGGGAGGTCAGTTCAAAGCAGGATTCTTTCTTGGAATCTCTTCGCAGGTGGGGGGCCATCCGAACACTGTAGCCCTTAATGAGGAAGGTCCCTTTGGGCTGCTTGCCTGCAAGACAGGAAAGCTCCCTGTATCCCTAGAGAGATGCAACTGCCAAGGGAAGGCATCTTCTCTGGTATGTAAAATAAAAGCACAGAAACAGCTGTTACATCCCTGAGGAACCACAATAGTCAAGGAAAGGTTATTAGAGAAGCTGAAGAAGAGGCTACTGCGACAGTAAGGCAGATATCACTGCCAAGCTAGGGAAATGCAACGTGAAAGGTTATTTTGCCAAAAGAGTACAACAGAGACAGAGAATTTATTAGAATGTTAAGAGATCTATAATAACAGAAAGAAGGAATTATTACAGCAGGGAGAGTGTGGCTGTAAATGTGAGGCTCTTGAAGGCTATTATAGAGCTGAAACATTATTATCAGGGCCAGCAGAGCTCACATTTGAGGGGAGGGACAGCAGCACAGGGGGGCATTATAAGGTCCCAGAATTGCCTCCCATGCCCTATGTAGCATTTGGGCTAAACTTCTCTCCCCCTTCCCTGCTGGTCAGGTGGGAATTTATGCTAGAGGGAGAATGATTAAAACTCAGTATTTATCCTCCTTGTAAGAGGTCAACCTGAGAAGTAGCAGAATAATGTTGAGTATTATTAGATGACGAGGAAGGAGACAAAAGGAAAAGGACCCTAAGTGAAGAGAGACTTCTGCTTGTCACTACCAAAAAAAAGTGTTAGAAACAGAAAAAGAGGAGGTGGCTCTCAAGAATTTTTTGTCCTCATTGTGTGGTTCAGGCAGAACACATAGAGAACAGGAACCACAGTGTCTGGGATGCTTTGAGCTCTATATCATGTGAAATGAATTGCTTAATAAATGCTTTTTGATGATGATAATGATGAAAAGGATGGCAGTGTGCTGACAATATTAAAAAAGAAAGAAGAAGAAAAAAGACTCTGTCCTCACCTGGTTGAGCTAAAAGAAATACACAAACACTATTCTTACTAAGAAAATGTCATGGGCACAATAAGAAATAACTGGCAAGAAGGGAGCCATGGAACAGTGCTTTTTGACACCAGAATCTTTTTTGTTAAAGTATCTCTCCTTGTTCTAACCGGCCACTAAAATGTTTTGTTGTTTCTTTGGTCACCAGATTTTATTTCACCCTGATGGCAAAATGGTCAATAAAAGCCTCTGAGTCTCTTGCTCTTACTGTCCCCCCTCCTTTCTCACCGTGAGTATGGAAGATTCTGAATGAACAGATGTGACACACCTGGTTTTATATCTAGATATGCCAACCACTTATTTAAATGCAAAAGAAATGATGAACATATTTACAGTGACAAATGGCATATTAGTTTGAAGGTTTAAAATAAGAAAAGAACAACTGGCTGGGTTGTATGCCTATAATTTAGAGGAGAAATTGTGGTTGCTGGGTTTGAGAGCGGGTTGGGGGTTGGAAGGACACATGGGACTTGTAGCTCAGTTTACAAACTATGCTGTTATTCTTTCCAAACAGGGCTTTAGCCTTTGCCCCTAGATGGGAAAGGTTCTGAGGGATGTAGGATGGTGAAAGGTAGGCAAAGGTCTGTGATAACTACTGCAGGCAGGGAGGCAGCATGAGGCAATTGCTACCAAGCCCAAGGGCAAATCTTAAGGATTTCAAGTAACTTAGCAAAGATTCAGTGTTTTAAGAAAGAGTCTCGTTCTGTTGCCCAGGGTGGAGTGCAGTGGCGTGATCTCGGCTCACCACAACCTCCACCTCCTGGGTTCAAGCGATTCTCCTGTCTCAGCCTACAGGCACCTGCCACCATGCCTGGCTAATTTTTGTATTTTTAGTAGTAGAGACGGGGTTTCACTGTGTTGGCCAGGTTGGTCTTGAACTCCTGACCTCATGATCTGCCTGCCTTGGCCACCCAAAGTGCTGGGATTACAGACGTGAGCCACTGCGCCTGGCCCGAGGCTGTATTTCTTTCTACTACCTTAGTACTGCAGGTGCAGGAAGTACAAAGGCAACTGGGTGGGTGTCTGATTATTCCCTACATTGGATATCCAGGCACTGGGAGAGGACTATGTTTGAGGAAGGAATAAGAAAGGAGAAACAGAAAATGACTGCAAGGAAAAAAAAGGCTCTACTCAATCTGTATCGCTGGCCTCTGTTCGAAGGTGCACAGCACAAGAAAGCCCCAACAAGAATTGATGCTTTTTTTTTTGAGACAGAGTCTTGCTCTGTCACCCAGGCTGCAGTGCAGTGGCGCGATCTCAGCGCAACCTCCGCCTCCCGGGTTCACGCCTCCTGAGTAGCTGGGACTACAGGCGCTCATCACCACGCCTGGCTAATTTTTTGCATTTTTAGTAGAGACGGGGTTTCACTGTGTTAGCCAGGATGGTCTCCATCTCCTGACCTTGTGATCCGCCCACCTCAGCCTCCCAAAGTGCTGGGATTACAGGCGTGAGCCACCGCGCCCAGCCAAGAATTGACGTTTTTTAAACTTTGTCTCCCTCTTGTTTCTTAGAATTACTCCTGGGGCAGTCCAACTCTGTAGAAGTGTATCCCCTATTCGAAAGTTTGCATTCATCTATAGTAATAATTTTTAGCTTGTATTTATTTGTAATTGCCTCCTATTGTGCTGATATCCTCTATTCCTTTTCATAAATCAATCAATTACGTTAAACATGGATGGGAGGTCTTCTAGGGTTAGCTCATGAGTGTTGACTTGATTAAGTCAGTGGTGGCTCATTAAGAAACTATCTCTGGCCTGAGTCAACACTTCACTGCTGCTGTCATCTGGCTGAAGGGCGTGCCTTGGGTACAGCAACCATTTGGGTCTCAATATTCTATGGCTATAGGAATGTTCACTGGACTACTTACTTCCTAGTAGTCATTAGGATAAAGCTGGGAGCATGCCCTTAGGGGGTTCAATTTCTGGGCCATTGTTTAAGTTCTTTAAGTCTTTCTCAGAATTAATTTATTTCAATATTTTAGCTATGGTATTGATACCTGTAAAGAGTTTGAAGTTCTTTTTATTTTTATTTTTTAAATCAAAACATTCAACTTTGATAATGTATTGCTAATCATAATAAAAGATAACCCTTTGATGTGCTGACCACACTCTTAGTGTTTAAATGTGAAATAATTTCTAAATTGGGTTCTGCTTTTTCGGTGATGGGCAAGGTATTATTTGCCCATGCCTATTTCTTTCCTAAGCATGTCCCTTTATGGGTATTAGTTAAGGACTGCTATCTTGAGATCTAAGTGCTTGAGAATTTACGAAGTGTTTGCATCCAGGAGTGAGATGCTGCTGTGTAAATGAAGAACACTTACTCTTCTCATTAGCATAGTAGTAGAAGAGACCTCTGCTGACAACACACCATCGCTTCTGCCACTCCGATCCAAAGAAACTATGATCTAAACAGAACAGCAGTAGGGGACATAAATTCAGGTAACTACCATCACTGAAGAGTCTGTAAAATCCAACAACATACAGTCCAGTGTGTTATTGTTTTATTTCCCAGGTTAATGGACTGTAAAACCCTCCTTTTCACTCCCACAGGTTATCCCATATTGACTCAGGGTCCGGGGGACTAGCTCAGTTAAAGGTCCAAGTTCTAAACAGGGGTGCCTGCTCTGTGCCCCACAGCTGTCTTTTTATCTAGCCTCCTTTATATCTTTTGGGTTCTTATCTCATCTTGTACATTTTCAAACTCTCCATTATATCTTTATGTGTTGCCTTTGACAAAGAAAAATGATTCTCCAGGCCATGGCCATGAAAGAGCTTTTTTTTTTTTTTTTTTTTGTGCTGAGCCAATTTGCCTGTTGAGTGTTAAACCTGAGATGCCAACTCTAGTGGTACCTATTCTAATTAAATGAGTTAAAGGTCAAGAGTTGGGTTTGAAGGCAGAAGTGGTGGCTCAGGTCTGTAATCCCAGCACTTTGGGAGGCTGAGATGGAAGGTATGCTTAAAGCCAGGAGTTTGAGACTAGCCTAGGCAACAAAGTGAGGCCTTGTCTCCATAAAAAATAATAAAATATCCAGGCACAGTTGTGCACCTGTTGTCCCAGCTCTTTGAGAGGCTGAAGTGGGAGCAATTGCTTGAGCCAGGATTGGAGGCTGCAGTGAGCTATGATGGTACTACTGTATTCCAGCCTTGGTAATAGAGGGAGATCCCATCTTAAAAAAATAATAAGTAAATAAAAAAGGCCGGGTGTGGTGGCTTATGCCTGTAATCCCAGCACTTTGGGAGACTGAGGCAGGCAGATCAGTTGAGGCCAGGAGTTTAAGACCAGCCTGGCCAACATGATGAAATCCTATCTCTGCTAAAAATACAAAAAATTAGCTGGGCATAGTGGTGCACACCTGTAGTCCCAGCTACTCGGGAGGCTGAGACAGCAGAATCGCTTGAACCAGGAGGTGGAGGTTGCAGTCAGCCAGGATCACACCCACGGCACTACAGAGCGAGACTCAGTCTCAAACAACAACAACAACAACAAAAACAAAAAACAAAAGAGTTGGGCTTGTCTGAAATTTGAAAGTAGGCTGCTTCACATATGATATAAAAACTACCCAGTGGGAGCACACTGAGAGATAAGGACAAGAACACCATTCATTGATTCAATAAGTTTTATTAAGCACCTGTCACATACCAGGCACTGGGGATAGAGAGGTGAGCAGGATATAACCATCCCTATCTTGATGAAGCTTATGGTCTACTCAAGGCTGGGACATCTCTCTTTAGCCTACACACAAACACCAGATTCCTTTCCTTTCCTTGCATTACTTTTGCCTTGTATCTGCCTAGCACAGTACCGGGCACAGAGAAGGAACCCAATATGTTAGCTTTCTTTTTCCTCACTTCCCTTCCCTTCCTGGAATGTTCTGAAATCTGTGGGTCTGACCATTACCTTTGCTTTTCTTCTCCAAGTATCCTTGCTTGATTATGTTATCAAGTTCTTGAGCTCCTTTTACGATGTCTTCCATTCCTAAAAGGACCAATGGCAAAGTGCTTTATTGAAACCTGGCAAAATTTTCATTTATTTAGGCTACTTTAGATAATTCACATTAATAACAGAGTACACAAGGGCAATTGCTTAAACACAGTACAAAATAAAACAATTTCTATATGATTGGAAGGAAAAGTAAATTTTCTTGCTTTTTCTTTCTTTTTTTTTTTTTTTTTGAGACAGAGTCTTGCTCTGTCACCCAGGCTGGAGTGTGATGGTTCTATCATGGCTCACTGCAACCTCTGCCTCCCAGGTTCAAGCCATTCTTGTGTCTCAGCCTCCCAGGTAGCTGAGACTACAGGCATGCGCCGCTACACCTGGCTAATGTTTTTTGTATTTTTAGTAGAGATGAGGTTTCACCATGCTGGCCAGGCTGGTCTTGAACTCCTGACCCCAAGTGATCCGCCCACCTCGGCCTCCCAAAGTGCTGGGATTACAGACGTGAGCCACTGCACCCAGCCAATTTTCTTTCTTTTCAATTATATCTAATGCTAAAATTGCTTAAAACGATCTAAATAAACATTAATTTGTAGTAGGTGAGGTAGCCTAAATATGTACTGATAGGCAGGAAAAGGACCCCAGAAAATTAAGAATTTTTTTTTTTTTTGAGACAGAGTCTCTCTCTGTCACGCAGGCTGGAGTGCAGTGGTGCGATCTTGACTCACTGCAAGCTCCACCTTCCGGGTTCATTCCATTCTCCCGCCTTAGCCTCCCGAGTAGGTGAGACTACAGGCGCCCGCCACCATGCCTGGCTAATTTTTTCTTTTTTTGTATTTTTAGTAGGGATGGAGTTTCACCATGTTAGCTAGGATGGTCTCAATCTCCTGGCCTCGTAATCTGCTCACCTCGGCCTCCCAAAGTGCTGGGATTACAGGTGTAAGCCACTGCGCCTGGCCAAAATTAAGAATTTTTTTATGGATATAAGTTCCAAATTGGATAAACCTCACTGAGATAATCAAAAGTCAAATGAATAACTACCAGCACAGACAGCTTTAATGAGTAATAGACTCCACCATAAACATAGTCACCTAAGAGGGAGCAATAAACACACACTCAATTTTTTTTTTCTTTTAATAAACAGCCACCTCTGTGAACATAAATTTTTTTAAGTTCATACAAGAAGGGCTATGCAAGCTGAACTTAGCAATAACTGCCAAATCCTGATTTCTTAAAAGTATGGGAAAGAGGCCGGGCCCAGTGGCTCACCCTGTAATCCCAGCACTTCGGGAGGCTGAGGCAGGCAGATCATGAGGTCAGGAGTTCGAGACCAGCCTGGCCAACATGATGAAACCTCGTCTCTACTAAAGATACAAAAAATTAGCTGGGCGTGGTGGCGCACACCTGTAATCCCAGCTACTCGGGAGGCTGAGGCACGAGAATTGCTTGAATGCAGGAGGCAGAGGTTGCAGTGAGCCGAGATCATGCCATTGCACTCCAGCATGGGTGATAAGGCGAGACTTCATCTCAAAACAAAACAAAACAAAACAAAAAAGTATGAGAAAGAATCTAAGAACTGTAGAAGGCTTCACAATACCCTGAAATTTACATCAGCCTTTAATCGTATGCTGCTAACATTCTTGGCTTTCAATTAGCCTGGTTAGGTACAAATTTATTGAGAAGTCAAGATCCTAATCCATCTTCCTCCACTGGGGTTTGTACTTACTTCACAGAAGGGAGGGACAAAGGATAGAGACAAAAAGGAATTTGCTTCTCAAAAAATAAAATGAAAGAAGAATGAAAAATAAAAGCCTCTTTTAAGAACACACTCTACATTTCTTAATTAGGCAAAAGGAAGGTGTATAACTGTATATTTTTAAACGAAGAATGTTGTTTTTACCTAAATCAATCTGGCCTGGTATATGACAACATAAAAAACTCAAGGATAGAGTCCAAAAACTCGCCAGCCAAGCAAATAATTATGCTGAACCCCCTTTGACACTCTGTAATTGGATGTCCCTGGTACTCCCAATTCTTAGTCCTTTAATACCTGTTTTTCTCATTATTCGGACCTTGTGTCTTTAGTTTCTCAATTCATACAAAACCACACTCAGGCCGTCACCAATAATTCTATATGACAAATGCTCCTTCTAACAACCCCACAATATCATCCCTTACCCAAAAATCTTTCTTCAGTCTAATCTCTCCCACTCTAATCCCTAATCCCGCTTGAAGCAGCCCTGAGAAACATTGCCCATTATCTCTCCACACCACCACCAAACATTTTTGCTGCCCCAACACTTTACCACTATTTTGTTTTATTTTTATTATTAATATAAGAAGACAGGAATGTCAGGCCTCTGAGCCCAAGCTAAGCCATCATATCCCAGTGACCTGCATGTATACATCCAGATGGCCTGAAGCAACTGAAGATCCACAGAAGTGAAAATAGATTAACTGATGACATTCCATTCCATTGTGATTTGTTTCTACCCCACCCTAACTGATCAATGTTCTTTATAATCTCCCCCACCCGTAAGAAGTTTCTTTGTAATTCTCCCCACCCTTGAGAATGTACTTTGTGAGATCCACCCCATGCCCCTAAACCTACAAGAACTCATGATAATCCCACCACCTTTGCTGACTCCTTTTTCGGACTCAGCCTGCCGGCACCCAGGTGAAATAAACAGCCATGTTGCTCACACAAAGCCTGTTTGGTGATCTCTTCACATGGACACGTGAAAGAGAAGGTAATTGGGCTAGTGGTATTTTAGCATTTACTCCTTTTAGTCCCAGAACCCAAATCTCTTTTGGATTGTCTTAAATAATTTATGAAGCAAACCAAGTACAAAACAAAGTAAGGCATGACTACATATGAATCAACTGGGCCACCTATACAGTATCTTGAGAGTTATGATTGAAATAACTTTTTTTCAAACAATTGTTTTTTGAACATTTCTTACAGTAACATTTATTCAATGGTGGCTATGAGCTGGCACTTTGCTCAGTGCCTTTCCTACTTTTTGTTTCAAAATAACATCTATGGGCCAGGCGCGGTGGCTCAAGCCTGTAATCCCAGCACTTTGGGAGGCCGAGACGGGCGGATCACGAGGTCAGGAGATCGAGACCATCCTGGCGAACACGGTGAAACCCCGTCTCTACTAAAAAAATACAAAAAAACTAGCCGGGCGAGGCGGCGGGCGCCTGTAGTCCCAGCTACTCGGGAGGCTGAGGCAGGAGAATGGCGTAAACCCGGGGGCCGGAGCTTGCAGTGAGCTGAGATCCGGCCACTGCACTCCAGCCCGGGCGACAGAGCCAGACTCCGTCTCAAAAAAAAAAAAAAAAAAAAAAAATCTATGACAATTTAAAATGCAATCAAAATTACATTTTACTTTAAAGCTGTTTCAAGCTTAGTTATAGAAAGGTAGATCAGAAGAGCCTCTTTTTCTGTTTTTAAGTGTGTCTATGTGCCAGATTTTTTATCCAATTGGTCCTTATTGTTAACCTCCTTATTCATGAACTACTTTCATTTGTGTGTTTCACAGTTAGCAAACTATGTGGTTGCCATAAATCCTTTTAATCCATCTCAGGGTGCATGTGTAAGATGAGCAGCAGCAAAGGAAAGTTCATTTTTCTAGGGTTCTTTCATTTCTCCTACCCCTCTGGAAACAACCTCCAAGGAAACAGTAGCAGATTCTACTGAGGGAGAGGCATTGCGTGGGGAGAGGACCAGTTATAGAAAAGAAGGCTCTCTAAGTGCTGTCAAAAAATTGCTCCTAGGGAGGCCAGGTTTGGCACAAACCTGTAGTCCCAGCTACTTGGGAGGCTGAGGTAGGAGGATCCCTTGAGTCCAGGAGTTCAAGGCTGCAGTGAGCTGTGGTTGAACCACTTCACTCCAGCCTTGAGTCCAGGAGTTCAAGGCTGTAATGAGCTGTGATTGAACCACTTCACTCCAGCCTGGGTGACAGAGCGAGATCCTGTCTCTTAAAAAAAAATTGCTCCTGGAGGCCTAAAAATTAAATGAAAGACATAGGGAGATGAGGAAAACATGATCCCATAAACCGTGAGTTTCCATCTCTTCTTCCCACAGGTTTTTTTTTTTTTTTTTCTCTTTTCTTTCTAAAGGTCTTGTTAAACTTAGAGACACAGCTCCTTGTTAAAGATGCCAAGAGTCTGAATCATAAAAGACATGTTAAACGTTCTATTAGAATTCAAACCTCCTTTTTTAATGCAAATTTAAATGCCATTTTATGGAACATCTATAATTATGAAAATAGGAAGACATTGCCTCGTGTGCAGGGAGAGTCTGTGAGTATGAATATTACATTAATGTGCCCACACCAGCTCACTGATCCTGCTGGCAGGAGCATAAAAAATGCTTGAGTGAAACTTTTATTTAGATGTTAAGACTCCAGGCCCCAGCGGGGTGACAGAGACAGCCCCTGTGAGTTGCCATCAGAGAGAGAGCTTGAATTGAATTACCCAGGGGGGAGGAAGTAGTGATGAGCACTGCTTCGCTTATTTAATTTCATTTACTTTCAGTACATTATCAGCATGAGGCTTTTCTCTCCCCACCAACTGAAACCCAAGAATGCCACCACCAAGAAAACAAAGATATAATGCAGCAGAGATGTAACTCGAAGTCACTAATTCTAGGAGACAAGGGACAGCACCATCACCACCTTCTCTCCCCAAGAGTCAAACTCAGTTTGTTAAAATTGTATACTGAAAGAGTTGCTGAATTTTTTCTCTTTGTCATTCACTAACAAGATTCTGAAAAGGAATATAGCTGGAAACAGTTTTTTATATCCTGTGTTTTTGTGTGTAGTCAGTAAGATGTGTTATGTTGCTTTCTTTCTTTCTTTCTTTTTTTGAGACAGAGTCTCACTCTTGTCGCCCAGGCTGGAGTGCAATGGTGCGATCTCAGCTCACTGCAACCTCCACCTCCCGAGTTCAAGTGATTCTCTTGCCCCAGCCTCCCGAGTATTTGAGATTACAGGCATGCACCACCACACCCGAATAATTTTTTGTATTTTTAGTGG